CAAACAAACAAACAAACAAAGCAGCCAATCAGCTCCTAGTCCGAGCTAAACTCGGTTCTGTAACGTGCTCACCGAGGTCTTCGTCCTTTTCGTCCATTTCTTGGCGGCTGTGATCGTGAATGAAGCCCAGAGACTCAAAAACAAGAAAAGAAGGAATCAGCTGCACTGGCTGCAGTGTTCCGGTCGGGACTTTCAAAATAAACCTTTATATCCACGTACATACATGAAAAAGAAGCAAACGCTGTAGTTTAGTGGCAGCTACAGTTAATGTGGGTTACACTGACAACGACATACGGACACATCTGTTATTAGAGGGTCTGCCGTTTGTTCATTTACACCGACTTTGTGCAGCGCTCAGCTGTTCCTTCCTCGTTTTATTTTGAAGGGCCGCTCTGTGGACTTCCGTGCTGGCTGCTGTGCTTCAGTGTGACTTGGAGCAGCTGCCGCGCCCACTGTTTACATACCGACCGGTCCACAAGAGTAGAACTGGAGAAAAATCCTGAGATGTGAACGTTTTGAGGCTCCAGAAGCTGCAGCTGGAGTCTGAAGCAAACTGCTTCCTGCTGCTGGTGCTTCCCTGCTCACCTGCACTCACACCTGTCGCTCTCTACCTGCTGGACAGAAGCTTCAAACACTGACTGCCTCCACATGTTGGGTTTCTTCCTGAATTCCAGTTGAATTCAGTCATTTGTTGCTGTGAAGAGAAGCTGCTGATCTCAGACAACAGAACCAGTGTTTCATCAGATGAGCTCCAGACAGACGAGGAGAAGATCCACAGCCGGACTGTTTCCTGGACAGCAGCTGGAGGCCAGAAAAGACCAGGAATAAGAGCATTTTTAGTTTCTGACATAATAAAACACTGTGTTGGTGGAGAGCATCCGAGTGCGTCTGATCTAAAAGAATTAACTGAAGGGACTTAATTAAATGTGCGGCTGCAAGATTCGACTAAATCTGGTTTATTTATTCAGATAAACCTTCAAACTTTGGGTTGTTTAGACAGAATAATGTTGCATTGATATGTTATTGTGTGTAATTTAGATTCAGATTTCTGCGTTAGTTGATTTAAAGCTAAAGTCAAGTCGAATCAGCTTCACAGCTTTCTGATTTCCATCCTCTGTTTGAGCTCAACACACCTGGAATATGCTTCAGATTGTTCAGACTAATGATTAAAACAGGTTTAGTTGCAGAGAGAAGCTGTTTGTTCATCACTAGTGACTGAGAAACATCAACCTGCTGAAGGTCATTAGATTTTATTAGATTTTCCTGGTTGTTCAGATCTTTCTGTCTCCGTTTGACTTCAAAGAAGTGTTTCAGGATTCAAAATAAGAATTTACTGATTGAAACATGATTCTGATGTGCTGACTGTAACATTACAACCTGCACCAGCTTCCGTTTGTTGTTTTTAAGATTTAATTATTGTGAATACACACCTGTTGGTCAGAATTCCAAAAAGGTTCCTGAATGCAACATGGGGGGAAAAAAAGACATGAAAACTATGAAAGAAAATGGAATTAAAACAGGATTTAAATTAAAACCCTGTCTTCATAATTCTGGTAATTAAGTGTGTGACGCTCATGTTTTCCTTTTAAACAATTAAACACCTTCATGTTTCAGGAATCAGCCAATAAACTTGTGTTTGTGCCGATAAGAGTAGATGTGAGTGTGGAGGAGCCGTGTAGCTTCAAGAAGACTGAAACAAACTGTTGTGGTGAATAAACTCTAAACTTCAACAGTTATATTTTACTTTTTAATGAGTCCAGATGGAGATTTAGTCCAAGCAGCGGGCCTAAACTTTGGTTTTATCCTGTAATCTCTTGTAAAAGTTGCTTCATTTACCAGTTTCAGGCTCCATTAAAGGAACGGTTTAAAGGATTTACTGGCATCGAGCTGTAAACGTTTAGGTCACAGCATTCACGTCCACCAGGTGGTTACACTCCACTGACAAGATAATCAAACAGTCTGCAATGTTACAGCAGCACAGATTAAAAAGGAATGAAGGATAATAACAGAAATAAATCAACGTATCCAGATGTACGAGTTCTAAAAAATAAAAATCAGTGTTTGAATGGTTTTACGATGAATAGAAATACTGGTAATGTTTTTGTACAGATTGTACATAAGCAGAGAGACACACGACATCGAACCAGAACATCCTGATGAATGCCTTTACCAACATTTGTTCTTCACAGTTCCGTGATTCACAAGAAAGCAGACGTCAGGAGGAAACACAAAATAAGAAAATGAAGAGACGGAGGTTCACACACAGAGCTCAAGACTTTAAAAACATCACATCTGGATGGGACACAAGTAGTTCAGGGACACTTTGTTTATTCAGCTTCATCTGATTTGTGTGGTATCTGCTATTGTTTTAAAATAATACTGCTAAGTTTTTAAATGTGCTCTCTGAGCTTCATCTGCTCAACTATGCACATACAGAAAATACACACACAAAAAAAGAATTTCTACATCTTTAAATCAGTCCTGATTAGCAAAGACGACAAGAATTCAGTATTAAACACAAACTGTTATGATTTATAACTTTCATTATTTCTGTGAATATCACTGGCATGATGTCATTATTAGTATCATTATTATTATCAGCATTAATAATGATATATTGTCATTATTAATATGTTATTATGATCATTATTGTTGACACGTACTCATAGTAGTGGTGGTATTTACTATTGTTGTTGTTTTTGTAGTTATTGTTGATATTTTTCGTAGTATTTTGTAATTATTGTTATTATGTTATCATATTGAACAGCTTTAGGAATCCCCACATTTTTCTCTGAGACATCGAACGCACCATTTCTTCTTCGCTGCTCCGGAAGTTGTTTCTTCTTCGTCTGTCAGCAGCGACACAACAGTTAGCTGTTAGCCGGTATCCTGCGGAGCTCAGAGACCAGATTCTGACACGGATTTCTGCTCACACGTCCACCATGGTAGGATGGAACAACCGCCGGACGTTTATTTAATAAACCTGTTCGTGTTTTCTCTGTGACTTTTCTCTGTGGAAAGTTTTTTTTTATCGGAGGGATTTTCATACATTGCTAACCGCTGCTAGCTTGTTTATGCTAGTCGGGCGTTGTCAGTAGAACGGTTCAGTTCAGCTTTTACCAGTTTTCTAACACTGATGACAACTAAGCTAAACCAACGATGTGTTTCCTCCCTTTTTTCTGGGTTTTCTGTCACCTTTGAATTCAGTGATGCTGTCTAGTTAAAGGCTAACGTGTGTTTTTGTCAGGCTGAAGTGGAGGAAACCCTGAAGAGGATCCAGGGCCAGAAGGGAGTTCAGGGCATCATCATCGTCAACTCAGAAGGTAAAACAAGGTTAATGAAGCTGTAGTTTAGGAGCCTGTCACTGTGGGTCTCTGCTGCTGTTTGCAGGTCGTCATGGGGGACACCTCTTGTTACTTAGCAACCGTAACTCCGCCCATTTACACCGATGTGGTTCGTTTCTGTCTCATAAACAAACCAACAGACGCTCTGAAGAGTGTCCCCTCAAAGTCCAGTGGTTATAAATGATATCCTCCCTTAAGAACTTCTGAGTGGAACAGGAGAGTTTTCCCCTGTAAGACTAAGATGACTGCAAATTCAGCTCCAAAGTAGAACCTCAAAAAGTCCAGCTGTGGTTCCCATCAGTCCACCTGCATGAACATGGTTCTACAACGAGCTGAGAGCAGCAGAACCTTCTCAGTTCTGGACCTATGGACTGTGTCTATGTCTGCATCATGGCTCCACATGGAGAAGACCTGAACAGAGGAGGAGAAACATCTGACTGAGAGACTGGACAGAGATGGAAAAGGATCCAGAAGATCAGTGAGCAGCTAGAACCCAGTGCAGCCCAGTGTGAGCAGGAACCAGGAGGTCCAGAAGGAGCCATAGCAGCACTGATCAGGACTGCAGGGGTCGTCCTCCTACAATGACTCCACGGACAGTCAACTACTGTCACTATGGAGCTGTGAACACCAGACAAAGGCAGGTGCTTCAGACTTGGCACAGGGCTTATCAATGGAGACCAGAGTTAGTGTGAAGCTCACACAGTGTGAAGGACACTTCAGAACATCAGCCTCTATGGACGGAAGACCAGAACTAAACCTGGCTGCTGCTCACAGCTAAACTTCCACATCAAAGTTCACCAAAGAACATGAACAGAAGCCTGATGGATGCTGGAGAACATCCTCTGGTCAGATGGAGATCAATGTGTTGGGCTCACATGGAGTCCAGATGTTTGGTGTGAACCTGACCAGGACCACCACAGTGGATGCATGGTCCTGACAGTGAAGCACGGAGGTGGCAGCATCATGATATGGGGCTGCATGAGGGCAGAAGGTGTTGATGACGTTTCTAGAAGCTCCATGAATGTCTGAGGATGAACCAGGATACTGGCTGACCAGATGAAGAAGAGGAACATTCCAGCAGGAGAACATCCAGAGAACAACATCATCAAGAGCTTCTACACCAGAACCAAGTGGAACCAGGACCTGGACCGTGTGACTCCTGGTCTGAGTCCAACAGAAGCCCTTTGAGGTGTTTTAAAGAGAAAAGTGGAGCAACAGAACCCCTCCAGCAAAGAGTAGCTAGAAAAAAGTCTCTAAAGAACAGAACATCTCTACGTCTCCTCCATGCCGAGGACGATTCAGTCTGTTACTGATGATGATGAACATGGAGCTACAAGATATGGGGGAAAAAAAAAGAGATTAAATTCTTAATAATGAGGGAAGCTGAGCTCCTGCTGTAGAGCCTGAATGTTTAACACATGTAAGAATTAAGCAGCTGCTGGAGATGCTGCAGTCCTGAACCGTCTGAAGTTTACACACCAAGTCTCACACTGTGAATATCACCTAATAAAACCAAAGATCGCTGTGTTTCTGCTGCTTGACTGAGTTAAAGATCCAGTACTCATTCATATTAAATACTGATGTGACACTGTGGAGCTGAAAAACCCAGAAAGCATCAAGAAAACTTTGTGATGCTCCAGATAGAAAACAGAACTTCAGAGGGAGGATTACAGCTCTGCAGCTTTAAGCAAACCCGTCTTCCTTTAATAGCATCAAAACTCTGTTCACATGAAGAGTTTTTGTGCCTTCAGTGTGTGAATCTATGTTTTCTGCTCAGGAATCCCCATCAAGACGACTCTGGACAACTCGAGTACGGTGCAGTACGCCGGTCTGATCCACCAGCTGGTGATGAAGGCCCGGAGCACGGTCCGAGACATCGACCCCCAGAACGACCTCACCTTCCTCCGGGTTCGGTCCAAGAAGAACGAGATCATGATTGCTCCAGGTCAGAACTGTGTGAATAACTTATCTGTCCATCACAGTAATTCAATACATGCATGTAAACTTCATATCAGTCAGATGAGGAGAGGATCCAGGTTAAAATGCTCAGTTTCTCTTCTACACTTTGGTTCCAGACACTTTTTTTCAACATGTTCATGATCTTAAATTCCAATAAATCAGTGTAGAAGTAGTTTTTGTCCATCTTCACCCCCAAACACAGACAGTTTGGGTTCAGTTTTGTTTTTTTAAATCGTGCCAGAAACAAGCGTTTGGAATGAATGAGTTCATTTGCTATATCGTTAGTTTCTGTTCAGACAAATAAGACGTGAAACCATCTGAGAGGAGACGACAGCGTTTATAAGCAGCAGCACCACAAACCTCTCACAGCAGCTTTGCATCCGTTTGTGTAACTTTGCATGAAAGCTTGAGCAACCAAAGTTGTGCTGACGAACATCGGAGGTAGGAAGTGTGTCGCAGGGAGTCCGGGACAGAAAGTAGCGCCAGAGTCCAGGACAGTGGGCGGTAAAGTTTATCCTCCAGCAGCAGCAGCGTTTCCAGCTGAGTGCCGTCAGATGAAGTCACTGATTACCAGCTTCTGTTTATTTAAAAGATTCTGGTTCTGATTCTGCAGAACCTTTATCTACTGACCAGAGTTCCACCTTCAGACTGAATGTTCCAGAGGTCCAGGTCCTTGAAGTCCACAGAGGAGGGTCCAGATTGATCACTTTAATGGACTTTTTCCATCATTTCTGAGCCTCAGAACTTCATCAGTACAGCAGATAGACACATGACATTTAGGAGGAAGAACACATCTGGGTTCTAGTAGAACCTGACACCAGATCAGTTCTACATCCATCCAGGTGTCTCAGTCTGAACACTGGACCTGGTTCTGGTCATTCCTTTATAACCAACTAGTTTCATGTCTCATAATTTGTCCTAAATACCTCCAACATGTTTCAATTTGCCCTGACGCCTCGAGAAAAATGACAAAAACGTTCCCAAAGTGACTAAACCCTTCACAAAGTTAAACAACTTCACTAAAAAATTACTCAAAAACTGTCCAGAATGAGCCAGAATTGATCAAAATTAAACTAAAATGCCTCAAAACTGAACCGAAATGACTGAAATCTTGTTCAAAATGTTAGAAAGCAATCAGATTTCACAGAAGAACAAAACATGTCGTTGTGTCTACTCGTTCTGCGATACGTTTCCTGATCTAAATGCTCGAGTGGTTTAGTTTTTGTGTGGCTTCTTCTTCAGATAACACAGAAGCATGTGAGAACTTTTACATCCTGGTTACTGGACCGTGTTCCTCTGTTGTCCTTCACAGATAAGGACTACTTCCTGATCGTCATCCAGAACCCGTCAGACTGAAGCTGAGGGAGCTGCAGCCCGACTCTTTGTTCTCTTTTGTTTCATATTTAAAAAGAAAACGGCCAAACTTTTTATTTTGTCCCCAGTAGCCCTACAGATCCCGTTCACCTGAAGCTTCTCCTGCACGAGGAGGCGACAGCAGACGACGGATGGTTTCTGTTTCCACGTTTCATCATTCCAGGTCTCCTCTCTGGGTTTGCTGACGTAGTTATAAGTAAAGCTGGAGGAGAACCGTCTGCACAGCTCTTGGGTGTTCGGGTTTGTTCTGCTCCGGTCGGTATTTATTTAGCTGGCAGCAGATGTTAGCAGAGAACGACACTACGAACCCTCTGAGCACGTTTCTGTTTGTCGTTTGTCACGAGTGAAGACATTAAAAAGTCAAAATGGCCTCCTGGTGCTGTGTTCTTTGTCCTTCTTCAGTGAACAAACTCCAGGTTTCATTTCACACCAGATTCATCCGTTTTCATGCATCCGAGACGTGAAGCTGCTTTAAAAGGAAGCAGCAGAACAGACGGATCATAATGATTTGTGAATAAACTTTGACTTTTTGATGTTTGGTTGAAGGTGATTTCTGCTTCACATTTTTCTATTTTAACTCATTTTAAAGTTTCAGTATCTCCAGAAATAAAACTCCCACAGATGAGAAATGTGCAGAAAAGCAGCATGTATATAACATATAACACATATGTTCTGTATCCACATGAAGACACTGAGAGGAACTTTGTAAACTGGCTTAGGATGAACTTTCTACAACTTCTCTGGTTGTTTTAGGTGCAGTTGTGCTCATTTTGCTTCTCTGTGGGATTATTCGAGCCTGTTCTCATACAACTCAGTAGGACCTTTGCAGTGAGACGCCGGTACACTGATGCAGAGGGTTTTTGAGCTGCCAGGAGCAGCTAAAGCAGGAAGAACAGCTCCATGTGATGCTGTGGGCTGAATCCTGCTGCAGTCTTTGGGTTTGTTTTGGATCCGTTTGGGCTCTTTTTTTCTTTTTTATCTCTTTGCGGTTCTTCTCTGCCGTGCTGTGGTCCATTTGTCATTTCCTGACCGTTTCGTGTCCTCTTGTCAGAGGGATTAAACAACAAGAGTGAAGAGCAGCAGCTTGATGTGACAGCTCTGGGCTCATGTCCAGTCTGCAGTAAACATCACACCTATGATGTTTAATGTTAGAAACCAGCACTGTTTAACAGCGGGTAGAAGCTGTGCTGTTGTAATAAAATGATAATAACAGTCATAAAAATAAATAAAAGCTTCTGTCGGGTTATTATTTTTTTTAAAAGGCGGCGGTCCCTTTAAGGGCGGCCGGTGACGTCAGCGCTGCTTTACTGGCTTTGTTTGTCCGTCCGAGCCTCAGACCGAGCGGAGACTCCGAGGCTCCTCCAGCACCGACACAGCGACACGCCGAGCACCGAGCACCACCGCCGGGCCCACACCGAGCTACGAGCCCCCTCCACAGACATGCCGTCCGACAGGCCCTTCAAGCAGCGGAGGACATTCGGTAAGAAGGCGGCGGAAGGAGCCGCAGCGAGCGGTTAGCCGGCCCGTTAGCCACCTAGCTCAGCCCGTCTGTTGACAAGCAGCAACACGGAGCGTTGTGTTGTTGTTGTTGTTTTTTTGTGTTGTTGTGGCGGAAAACAGCTGTCTGAAACTCCCATCTACAGCAACACGGACAGGAAGAGAAGCCCCGGGCTGTCCAGCTGGGAGACAATAGATGTTTACGGCGCTAATTAAAGCTGCAACCAACATGTTAAAGTGGCTGTTAAAGGCCATCTGGGTCAGAGGAGCTGGCGGAGGCCCGGAGGCAGCAGCTAGCAGCTAGCTACCTGCTAGTAGCTATCTGGTAGCATTCAGTGTTTGCTGCTTTAAGGAAAACAACATGTGCTGACACATTATCCAGTACACGTGTTCACTGATTTATGGTGTAACCTGAAGCCCCGTACTGGGTGAAGGAGGAGCCCCAGTCCGACCATTGCATAATCCGACCAAACTGAGAAACACCTGGACATGAGCAGCAACAAACCCCTGAAATACATCCGAGTATGTGCTGCTGTAAAGTTAAACTATCACGTATCACGGCCTCAAACGGACCTTTTATGATGTTGTTCTGTGGTTTCACACTGACACACATTCCTGCTTTGTCATCCAACAGTAAACAGCCTCCAGCAAAGTAAACACACCTTTACTTAATCAATTAGCAGACACTGATTTACTACACGATTTAAATGGAATATATTCAGCAGCATCAGGACCCAGGATGTCCCCGTTTGGCTCCTGGTCTACAGGATGATGTTCCCTCCTGACAGCAGGAGGAACAAAGCGGATCCACCAGGAATGGGTCCATAAGGATTAGTTCTCTATCGATTAATCCGTCAAGTGTTGTCTTGATTAGCAGATTCATTTAAACTAATGTTCATCCCAAGAAAAAAACAGCAAAATGACTGATTTATTTTCACAGACTGTGTGATGCAGCGCAGTAAAGAAAAGATTTACACATTAAAGGGCTACAAGGGAAACTCCAACATGAAAACAACCCATTTAAGTCAGCTCCAAAAGAAATCTATCAAAGTTCTCTACAGTAACAAAATAAAGAAGCTATTTGTGTATGTTTTGTGTTATTATTGTGCAGCTTTAAATTCTAAGACAAAACAGCTGGTTTCACTGCACAGCCGTCAAATCATGTGACTGTTGGCTATAAAAGAGGGTTTAAGAGGTTAGAAGAAGTTTTAAATGACGGCTGGTGAACACGTCATCTTGATTCGCTGCACTTCAGTCGCTGTTCTGTATTCGTTTTGCTGCCAACAGCAGAATACAGTCACAAGCACAGATTTATTGAGTTCAGCTGTAATCAGAGCGTAATGAGCACAGAGAGCAGGAGAGAAGCCCACTGACGGACGGACTGCTGCAATCCGACATCCAAACTCTGCTCAGTGTTTGTTTCTGTAACAATTTAAAGTCCTCCCTGACTTTAGAGGCCGACCAACGGCATCATGATCCATCAATCAGACGATGCTGAAGACTGACTCTGGTTATGATGAACCGAATCAAACAGCAAACACGCAGTGATGTTGACACACCAGGTTCACTGATGAAGTCGACTAATCGCTTCAGCTCTAGACGTTTAAATTCACAGCCAGGGAGGAGAATTACACCAACAGCAGGACTGGAACATGAGATCATCTCATTTGTGATGCGTTCAGATGTGCACAAAAAGGTCTGTTGTAATAAATAGAATCACAGTCAAGCGTCAGAAACATCCAAACAGAGGAGCTCATTCTCACCTCACCTGAGCTTTGAACCCTGACGCTGCTTCTAGACGGGTTTCCAATAATGTTGGAAAACAACCAGTGCAGGGATGAAAGGTGGCGTTGACACTGGAGCACGTGATCCGGCCACGACGTGGAGCTACGTCTGCATATTAATGGATCAGATGAGAAGAAAACAAAGAGAAGAGTGTCAGTCATACGGAGACGCTGCTAATTAATGAGTGAATAGTTTAATTGGGAGGAAACTGATTGTTCTTGTGAACATGAAAACTTAAAAAAAAATGGAGGAAATTAGTAAAACAATGCAGCAACTAACGACCTTTTTTATCGGTTGATTATTCTCCTTATTAAATTGACAGTAATTTGGTCTCTATGTCAAAAAACGGGGAAAAATATTCAGTTTACTCTCACAGAGGAGCAAAGAAACCAGAAACTATCCACATTTTAGAGGCAGCAGTCACAGAATTTAGACTTTTTAAAACAGATTAATCGATTATTTGAATAGCTGGCAATTATTGTAATCACTGACAACTAGTTGATGAATCATCACAGCTCTGATGTTGCTGCATGAATGTGCATTTTGATGAAGTAAGACTGACTTCTGTTTGGATTGTCGGTGATAAACTGCGAGCGTAGACGTTCTGAGATGGCGGTGAAGCAGTCACGATGCCTCTTTGTTTGTTTCTGTGGGATTAGCCGATTTATCAGTTAATTAGTTCCACGACAGATTAGGTAGCGCTTTATCGGCAGCAGATAAGAAATAATGGCTGTTTCTTAAGGACTTGAAGCTTTTCTTTTAACTGAACCTGCATGTTTCTGACTTTCGACTGTTGATTAAACAAAATAATACATTTAATATGAAAATGTTCAAGAAAACTAACGTGCAGGTTGATGGACGGTGAAAATGGGCATCATATGAATACATTTATGAATCTGACCTGAACCAGGAAGTATTACAATTGAGGATATTACAGCTTCATTACTGATAAAGACTGTTTTTTAATTCGGGTTTGTGTCTTTTGTCCACAGCTGACCGGTGCAAAGAGGTCCAGCAGATCCGAGAGCAGCACCCAAACAAGATCCCTGTAAGCTGTTCAATCAATCAATAAATCTAGCTTTAATCGTAGCTAAGGCTAGTTGTTGCTATCTCAGCTTTACTTGGCTATGGCTGTGCAGCTAACTGTTTTTTTTCTAGGCTAGCAACCCAAAGTTAAAGAGTTGTGTTTTGTTATTTTAATTAGTTAGATTAACCAACTGAAAAAAAACAAAATGTCCTCTGAAGTCAGTAATTGAACTTAGCTATCGTTTTAGCTTAACCTAGCTGCCATTTAGAGTTCCGTCTGTGACTTTAGCTTTGTAGTTAGCTGTTTATGATTTTAGCCGTGCAGTTAGCCTTCTTTCTGTAACTGTAGCTTTGTGGTTAGCCATCGCTCTATGACATTAGCTATGTAGTTAGCAGTCTATCTATGACATTAGCTATGCAGTTAGCTGTCTTTTTATAACATTAGCTGTGTAGTTAGCCGTCTGTCTGTGACATTAGCTATGCAGTTAGCATCTATCTGTGACTGGATAGGTAGCTGGCTTTCTGTTGGCCACGTAGGTAAACGTCTGCAGCTGTAACACTAGTTGTGTAGTTATTTGTCTTTTCATGCAGCTGCTGTGTTGACAAGTCCTTCAGCTCACAGTAGACCACAGACACCATACAGCTGCTCACACAGTGAAACAGAAGATCACATCTGGTCCTACATGGGCCTGTGCAGGAGAGCATGGTGGTGGATCCAGACGTGCTGTGTTTGTGTCTGCAGGTGATCATTGAGAGGTATAAGGGAGAGAAGCAGCTTCCTGTGTTGGACAAGACCAAGTTCCTGGTTCCTGATCACGTCAACATGAGTGAGCTGGTCAAGATCATCAGGTGAGCGAGCACACGTTTAAATACAGCAACACAAGAATAAAAACAGCCAGTCAGACACGCTGCAGGTTAAGCTAAGCTGTGTGTGGTCACATACGTGGAGCTGTCGGTGTTCTACATACGTCAGGTAGGTGCAGTGTGTCGGCAGCACGTTTACGGTCTTCTGCTGCTTCCAGACCAGAGGAGGAGAAATAAAGCCTCACCGCTGGTCCAGCCACAGAGTAATGGGCCAGTAAATGAAGATGTCACTGTCCAGCAGCCCAGAGCTACAATAAACCGTCATATGCCTGGTCGTCAGCAGCCGTAAACGCTGAAGAGGCAGAAACAGAGAAGGCTCTTCTATGTGGAAGATTTAAACCAACCGTAAAAGTTAATAAGCCGTATATCTGTCCCACAAACAGTCAGCAGGTCGGAGATTCATTTCAGAAGAACCTCGACCAAGACAAGAGTTCAGGAAGTCGAGAGACGAGTCAGGAGGGGAAGTGTGAGAACGCTGGAGCTGAAAATCAGACGACGGAGATAAAACTGGGTTCTGTTTGATATTCTGATGTTTGCATTCAGTCGGCTTAGGCATTTTTAAACACGCATTTAGATCATGTACGTTGTTCAGCTGTTTCCATTCTGACCTTCCAAACATTTGGTGGTCCAGCAGAACCAAGTCTGTGGCCGGGTTCTGTCTGAGCCTTTCAGCCTGCAGCTAACAGCAGAGTGAATTAAACGCCTGCTTCATTTGTAATGAGGTCTAACGAGGCCGTTATCTTGTGTCTTCAATCAACCTTAAACTCCTGGAACCGGATGAACAGCAGCTGATGGTTCAGCCCGTTGGTTCTGCAGTAGTGTAAATGTTCTGGTCTGTTCATCGGGTTCAGTCACAGGTTAAATAAACGACAGTCAAACACTCACCTGCCGTGGAATCAAACCGTGGCTCAGCGTTCCTCCTTCACGGCTCAGAAAACGCTCTGAAAACATTTCTGCAACGTACTCCAGACCCGGCCCGTCCGTTTAAACGTTCAGAACGTCCCAGATGCTCACGCTTCAAACAGCTCTGCTGAATGTGCAGCTGCCCGGTCCAGCAGGTGAGTCCACTTAGACGTTAGCTCACCTGCTGCTGCTCCTCCATTGGTCAGGATCTCTACGTCAGCTCTCATTGGCTCCTGATCTTTTCAGCTGGTGTGGGTTTCCTGATGTTGAGGTTGCTGATTTGGCTCCTGGACACCTCGACCAATCAGGCGGCTGCACACCAAGGCGGGACAAATATCTACTGGAATATGGAAAATATCCAGATTGTAGGATATTTTGATTCATAAAAACTGTCCCGACGTCATAAATGGAGCAAAGAAACCAGGTTTATGTCACAGACTGCAGCAGAAACACACATTTTATACTAAATTAGTTCAATGAAGGAGAAAAAAGGCAGCAAAGGTTGTTTTTATTCATTTATTCTTCCATGATATTTAAGTTTTTCTGACACTGAACCAGTGAGCAGCAGCTGAACCTCCTGGTCTCTTCACAGTCATAAACCTCCATCACTCATCACTGGGTAGCTTCTGAACCTCAGGAGGAGGTCTGACCAGGACCAGTCGTGCTTTATGCATGTTTTATAGGATTTAATCTCTGATATCTAAATTATTTCAGTAAAGTTACACCAATAACATCACTGTAGGGGCTGAACTTCAATCTTTAATATTGTTACGTTCTCATAATGCCAGTTATCGTCTGTTTTATTTAAAATCACAGGAAACATACCAGCTGTTTCCTGTATTTGACCCGTTAACGGATTATCTCGTCTAAAAACGATGCATTCGTTAAAAACGTTGCAGCGTCTGTGTCGTCGCTCACGTCGGCTAATGGCAGCAGGGTGGAGGTTTTACCTGAGACTGGACACGTGATGGAGGAACAACAGAATCACCCCGACCCAGCTATGGAGTAAAACCTCCAGAACCAGCACCACAGTAGCTCCTGACCTGGACACCAGTTATAGTCCCGTACAGTCGGGTTTCCATCCCTAACGTGTGAATGGATCACGTCACATGACACCATGAATAACACTTAAAGCCCAGATTTAGACTTGTTAGGGTTGGTACATAAGACCCAGCAGCTGACTCTTGTGGTTCCTCTTCCAGGCGCCGGCTGCAGCTGAACCCCACCCAGGCCTTCTTCCTGCTGGTCAACCAGCACAGCATGGTGTCCGTCTCCACGTCCATCTCTGAGATCTACGAGCAGGAGAGGGACGAGGACGGCTTCCTCTACATGGTCTACGCCTCGCAGGAGACCTTCGGCTGCTAGGGAGGGGGAGCTGGGGGAGGTGGAGGGAGAGGACGGGGTGGAGGTCCAGGAGGACGCCTCCTCCTCCTCCTCGCTGTGGTCAGTCATTAAAGCCGGAGGAGCTGCTGCTGCTTCCATCTTCTTCTTGTTTGTTCTGATCCAGACACCACCAGGTGGAGGTGAGACGCCTGTACAGCTGCTTTAGTCTCGGTCCTTCACACTCGTTAGCTGAAGCTGAAGCAGGCGTCCAGACTCGGCTCCTCTCCTCCGTCTGGAAGCTAGACACTAGATTTTTTAACTCACCTTTTTAATTGGTAGATCTTAGCCATCGTTTAGTTGGTAGTTTGTTTGCCTCATACGTGTTCTGTCAGCCTGAAGCTCACCTGGCCAACCTGCTGCTGGCTACCGAGTAGCTGACAATCAGGCTCAGCAGCACCGCCCCGTAGACATGTACAGTACAGGCCTGTCTTATACATGGCTATGGTCACCGCGGCCCGCTCGGCCGCCGCCGCCGCGGTGATGTCACACGTGCAATACCCCCCCCCCCTCCCCAAAACCACGCCTCCTGTGGGCGGAGTCATATCACCAGGCCCCGCCTCCCTGTACAGACACCGTAACGTACGAACCGCTCGTTCACACACAAGGGAACTAGCGTTAGCATTAGCATTAGCACCGCTCCACCTCCGTTAAGAGCACAAAGGCCTCAGCGCTCAGCGCCACCAGGCGGCTGGACACGGTTCGCTCCGACGCAGCTGCTAGCTGGGTGTTAGCATCCACAGCCCCTTTCAGACATGAGCTGCACAACATCTCTGCTCCATGGGGTTGTTCAGGGGTTGTTTCAAGGCTCCTCCCAGCAGAGAGTAGATACCAGTCACAGACCGGGTCGAACCAGAACATCATATAAATGAGCTGAAGTCAGGGTCCATCCCGTCTCCTCACAGGGACGCCTCATAGTGGTTCTGTCTGTAAGCAGCAGCTCGGTTCTGCAGGTATTTAATCAGAGGAAGAGCTCCTGAGCAGCTGGACAATGGTCCAGACCCGTCACTGCTCTGACCCGGTGCTGCTGTCACACTCAGCTTCCTTGTTCCTCTGGCGTCAGGTTTGGTGCTAAAACAAAGAAAACTCCTTCCACCAATCACACGGTCCCGTCGATCCGGTACACCGACACCGTGAGACGCCGTCGGGTCATCGCAGGTCGTCTGAAAGGGGCTTTGGGTTCTGACTGGTCGCTGGTTCGGAGCGACGGGAGGACGGTCACGGCCGATCCTCCTGTTTGTGTTCACAGTAAATCAGAATGAACCCGTGGAGCAGCGAGCGGACCTCCCAGAAACACTACAGTAGCATAGCGCCACCAGGTGTGTTATGTAGGACATGAACGAGCTTCTTTTGCACATGAATTAATAGGATTATAGAAGAGTTGGCATAGAGCTGATGTTGTAGGACTTCCTGTGTCTGTCGTCTTTCTGCCTTCTCTCTAACAGCAGCTGGAGACTGGAGGCTGTGCTGCACTACCACATGCATGTTCTCTTCCTTTTTTTTTATAAACGTATGTTGATTTTACGCTATAACTGTTTTGACTGAGATGTTTCTTCCCAAACCAAAAACTGAACAGAAGGAGAGTATGTTTGAAGCAGACGGCGGATAGAAAGCGATCATGTAACCGAGCTGCGTTACCAAGTGTGTTCCTTTAGCTCCTGTTTGTACATAGACGCCTCATTCAAAGCATTTGCCAATAAATAAATGAATAAAAAGAAAACGTTGCCTTTAAAGTCGATGCGTCTTTTTTTGATTCTGTTTGTGTTATTGTTAAATGAGTCCAGCAGGGGGCGCCAAACTGGACAACAAACGAAGAAGAAATAATCAGATCATTTAACAGTCTGAAGGAGTTTAAAAAGAGTAAAAAAGGTTTCATAATACTCTTAAATTCAGTTAAGCAAACATTCACTATAAGAGGTTTTTTATTTTATTGTGTCAAAACTGGATAAAAACATTTTTAAGCATTTTCTGCAGTTAATGATTAATTGTTGCCATTTCAGGGAGGTTATTTTCTGTCATTAACTAATTGTTTGGTCAGTACAGTGTCGGAGAAAGAGCTCAAAATCCACAAAATATTAAACGCACGATTATTTAGGACAAGAAAAAAAAAAGCTCAGATGTTTGTGTGATGAACTGGAACTTAATTTCACTGATAATTTCACTTTAAATCTTTATATTCAACCTGCTTTCCAAAGCAAACGTCTGAGAAATGTGAGATTCTTGCTGCAGCTCTGCAGGTTTTCATTTATTTTTCTTTATGAAACAGGAACTAAACTAGAGTCTGAGGCAGTAAAAAGCTTTTAAAGGGCATTAATTTGGTAATCAAGTCGTTTTTCCATCACTTTAAGATAAACAACCAACAATAATTCCTCCTAATATCAGTAACTAATCAATAAAAGTGACCAGAAGCCTCCAAGCATTTAAATAATTGAAGGACCACATATCAACCTTATAACAGTGAAGAAGTTTTTTTCCCAGAAAGGATGAAAAACCAAATTTTAACAAAAAAAAAGTTAAAGTATTTAATTTTAAGTTAACATTTTGAGTAACTCCTGCTGGTTATTCATCGTATTTTACAGTCTGATAATGAAACGAGTTCTAAAAGCTCTCAGGATGTTCACATCATCGCCTTCATCGTCTCAGTTTGTTATGATTTTTGTCCTCAAACACTCGATTAATAAAGAAAAAGACTCTTTTGAGGTTGAAGAAGCCGAAGCAGCACCAAGCGGATAAAAAGAGGCGGATTGGTTTTATTTTACAAGACAGAAGCAGAAGTACAGGTTCTCATCCCGTTCGTCTCGTTTCTTCTGCAGAAACGTGACGAACTGAAACCTCGTTTGTTCGTCTCCTCTGGTGTCGCGTGACGTCAGCTTCACGCCTTCGTTAACTTCATTAACACGCTGGACTCACAGCTCACGCCGCCTCTCGCTGGGTTTCACTCACACAGTGTGGACGCTTCAACAGTTTAGATTTTACAGCCTTAAAGACACTAAAGCAGCAGCAGCAGCGACACCAGAAACACATTCAGAGCTCAGTGACTCCTGCTGTGGAGTTATCTGGACCTGCTTCAGGGGTTTTGTTACTCTGCTCTGAAAACAAAACAACAAAAAAAACAACGGGTGTTTTATAAAGGAACAAAAAGAAAACGGAGCGGTGAGGAGGTCCAGCAGCTTGTCGGGTTCATGTGGCACAAGAAGGTCGGTGGGAGGAAACTCTGGAGGTCCTTACGCCATGCTGGAACAGAGCAGAGCAGAGCGTCAGACGAACATCAGAAGAACATCAGAGCAGAGTCATGGATAAAGAAACACAAAGGAACTGGAGGAGGGATGGTCCACGAGCCTACAGCAGCCTCTGGCTTTACTTCTACCAGGACTAAAAGTCTTCATCAACACACTCCCAGGATGGATCCATGGCTGTTGGCAGCAGGAGGACCAGACCACCTGTGTCTAACAGGTTATTCTGATCTGTCTGCAGGAGGTGAGCCTGTTTTCAGTTTGAACCCATTCGTACTGGGTTCTGTCTCTCTGGTGGATCTGATCTCTTTGTGGACTTTTTGTGCGTCTGTGTCGCCGTCTTGTGTCTCGTTGCTGTTTACGACTCAGTAAATGTCAAACCTCAGAGTTTCTATCAGGTCGGACCAGTCCACAGTTGTGTTCAGGCGGTCGGTTCATCCTGCTGCCAACAGTAAAGGAACAATCCTGGAACGCTGCTGATGTTGCAGAACTTTGGTTCTAAAACCATCCTGCTGAGTGAAGTCCAGACTCAGACACGTCAGCACCGGGTCCTGATGTAAACCCACCTGTCGATGAGCGAGTCCCTCATGCTGGTGGCGATGGCCGACGGCTGCGCCGAGTCGCTGAGTCTGAACACGCTCTCGATGACGGACAGCTCGGTGCTGGTCGTGTCCAAACCGCAGAACGCGCACCAGTCGTTGACCACCATCCCCGCTGCGATCACCTCGCTGCCCCGGTTCACGGTGCCGGCCTGGAGGGGGACAGCAGACTGATTAAAGCCACGGCAGCAAAGAGCAGCAGAACAATCAGCCTCAAGTATGTGACAGGATCCAGATGGTTCTGGTTCCTCTGGATGGACGGAACCAGATTACAGGAGCGGAACTCGTCCGTACGTAGAAAAACACTGCTGAGTTTACAGACGAGTTTATTAAAGGTTAAAAACTTCACACCTGAACATGTGAAGCTGTTTTTTACTGTCAGTCAATAACACATGAAAACGTGTTTAATCCAGTCACAGGGAAACACATCAGCCTCAGAGGACGGAAAATAACCGAGTCATGTTTGGTTCAACACCAGAGTCACGTACTTGGTTCGTTTCATTCCATCAGAGCCGAAGCTGAAGCGTTAAAGTTCTCATGATCAGATCAGGGAGGTTTAAACGTCTCTGACTCCAGCCACGTTACTGCTCCACTGATCGACCTTCAAAGAACTCTGAACCGGATAACTGACCTGTGAGTCAGACGCTAACGGATCGACTCCACCGGCGCTGGTGAAGGAGGCAGAATGACTGATAGTTCATAGCTTCAGATAACGAAGCATCAGACGGTACAGCGGCTAACGTTAGGCGCTACCATTAGAGTCTGGACTCACCACTAGAGGAACCTGCAGCAGCGACGACAGCTCGTCCTGGTCTTCTATCGATGTCTTGGGATGGACCAGACCTCCCTGGTTGCTGAAGGCGCAGTACGAGCCCACCAGGACCTGCTCAGCCACCGTCTGCCGGAAAACCTCCACCTTCAGAGTGTCTGCCAGGATCTCCTCTGTTTCCTGGAGGAAGAACACCAGGTCAGGCCCAAGCTGCACGTTGACATGGTCTTCATTTAGTTCTTGTCCAACTAGAAGCATTAAAAGCTGAACTGTCTGTAATACGATCAGCGACACACGAAGCTGCAGCGTTCACCCTCTGAGCAGCTAAACATCACCAGAACGATGAGAAACTGGAGAAACTGGAACATGTTGAAACTTCTCTGGAACGAATCACGTGAGACGTTCAAGTCACCTGAAAATAAACCAACCGCACCTCAGCTGGAGATCATGATAATTCATCTAAATGTCTTTGTTCTGCACGTCTCACCTACACACCTGCTAAAAACGAATGAGGTTCTGTAGAAAACAGGAAGCCAGGAATGACTCGGTTCTTACCGACAGTCAGGTGATAAGGATTCAGAGACTGTTTGGTTTAGCTGCAGCAGTGCTGAAAGTTATTTTAAAACTATCACTAAAATTAAACACGTTATCACATTAAAGGCCTGCAAAAGAAAAAAAAACTGTTGGATTTCCAACAGTTGTTGAACTACTCATGTGTGACTTTCAGCGTTGTCAGTAAAAAAAAAAACAAATCTCAGCTAAAAATCGGAATATTTCATTAAAAAAACACTTTATTCTACGTGTGTTGATTAAAAATGTGCCCAAACCAGACAGCTGGGAACAGATTGTGTTAAACTAAAGATCCTGTGCTGCTCTGCACACCTGAGAACACATATTAGAATAAATCAGAACAAAATCAGCACAGAAATAAGATGAGGAGATGAAACGGTCGAATCCAGACCATGTTTCCATGCAGCACGCTGCTGATCAACGTCAGCGGCAAGCACGGCTAACACAGCTAAACGTTGTGGTGTTTAAGGTGTTTAAGGCGTGACAATACTCGAGTGATTCACGTATACAAAGCGAACTGACTCCGTCTTTATCTGCCGTGCTGCTCTCATCAAACCCTGGAGATGCTGTTCTGCAGTAAACCTGCCGCCCAGCTGCTGCAGCATCCCGTTACCGTAGCAACCAGCAGACGGATGTCTCCGTCATTAGACGTTAAAGCGACCAGACAGCGCCCGCCCCCACAGGTTCTCACCCTGTCCAGGTCGGGGTGGACCAGCGCCACGTAGTCGTTGCAGGCGATGACGTTGCCGAGGGCCGACAGCCTCTCCTCCACCCGCTGCATCCTCACCGTCTCCGGGAGGCTGTTCCTGATGTGCTGCAGCTCCTGGTCCGTCGTGTTGTTGGGGACCAGGAGGCCGTGGCGGTTCCCTGAACGCAGCACAGACACACAGCTGACGCATCACAGCGAACACACGGTGAAAGGTGACCGACAGCAGCAGCAGTTTCACTGCAGGTTAAAGTCCCGCAGGTCCACAGAACCAGAACCAGAACCAGAGACGTCCTCTGTCAGTCAGTTATAATGTCAGAAATCTTAAGAAAAGTAAAAGATGGATTTCTTCTGTAGTTATTTTACACAAACTGAGAACAACACGTCACCTCCACATGCAGCAGATGTTTCACTGTTTGCATTTTAGTTTTAGTTTTTTCTTCCATTTTTTTCTTTTTGTGTTCAGGAGCTCAGCAGGTTTTTTACAACGGCTGCTTATTGCACATGATGATTTTTCAATGAGACAAGCAGAATGAAGAGGTTTTAGTTCAATCATTTCATTTCTACCTTCTACGTGAGGTTTTTTTGTTCCCTGACAAAACCAGAAGTTGCTCATGATCACTTCAGGCGCCGTCAGCCGGCTGGAAATCAGTGACTTCTTCTAGTTCTTATAGATGTAAATGGAGTTGTTTGGGTGATTTTCTTGACGTGTGTGTCCGTTGTGTGTATGTAAACACACACCAGGAGGATGGTTCTGAACCAAATCAGCAGCAGATCAACCTAAAAGCATGAAAACAGGAGTTCTGGTAAAGACTGGCTCACCGACACACATCCTCCCGATGATGCGACAGCCGGCGATGGAGGCGTGAACCACCGGGATGGTTTCCGACAGCTCCCCTTCAAACACACTGCAGACACAAACAAAGAGAACAGCGAGCTTTAGACCCAGTTCAGCTCCGGGTCTCGTCTCCTGGACGGTCAGCAAACCCTCCGACTCTACAGGAGTTCATCCAGTCAGTCAGGACTCACCACAGAGGACTCACCATCGACCACTGCAGCTGATAAAATCATTTCATCTCAGCATCAGAGTGACTGAGACGGACAGCAGGGACATGAAGACCACAGCTCCCCACGTTCTACATTTACACAGAACAACAGCTGGAAAGGTCCCACACTGAGCCCCTTTGTCACCAGTTTCTGGAAGTCTTACAGGTTTTTTAGCTCAAATGATGAGTGTAGATCTGCTGCTAGTATTTGTGTTGGTCAGCAGCTTCTCTTCAGGACTCTGTGTCTGTTACCGACAGCATGAAGACTTTAACCACAGCAGACGTCTGACTTCCTCTCTGAGTGACTCTCAGCTCATCGCTGTTCTTAATGTCATAAAATCAGGTTTAGCTGAAGTGATGCTGGTCAGCGTGTCGTCTGGAGGAGTTCTAGTTTCCTCCTGGTTCTGCTGCCTGACACCAGAACCACCTGGAGAGGAGAGCAGCTGATAGAAACCTGACGTGAGCACAGAGAGAAGCTCCAGACGGAAACATCTTGACGCCGTAAAAGCAGCTCGATGCGTCTTTATCAACATGGTGACCTTTGTATTTAGTGTTTTATTGTCTCTTCTCTTTGACTGTGAAGCAGTTTGTGACGCCTCGTCCAGAAAGAAGACGTTAACATAAACTTCACGACTTCTGACCTCCATGAGCGGCTATGAGGAGTGTTTAGTGCAGAGGAGTGAAGCAGGAGGTCACGTGGATCAGCTCAGATAACAATCAGATCAATCAATAACACACAGGACAAACACATCTTACATTCACCAGCTACGTTTCACTGGATCCCTCATTCTTCTCTGATTGAATTCAGTTTGAACACAAATAAGACAAATTATTTTAGAGAAACGCTTCCATGGCCTCTGACTAAATCACACTGTAATTTAAATACTTTCATATTCAGTTCAGTTTCTATTGTTTAGAAAGTTTAAATTTAATGCATGTTTGTGGCTCAAATTCATTCACAGAGCTTTTAAATGCATCTCTGGTGGCACCAGTCGTGTATTTTTTGTGTTTTGATCCTTTATTTTTCTAATAAATTCATCTATTTGTCACATTTTCTTTCCTCGGTACCGTGATAACACATTTTAAATCCACGTCCACCAGCTTGTCATCTGAGTGTTCATGACTAAAGCTGCTAATCGACTAAAGAAGATGTTGTTTGGTCTTTAAAATGTCAGAAGATACTGAAAAATGTTGCTGAGAAGCTCAAAAGAGTTCCAAAAAAGCCAGAGACGAGAAACTTTCAGGCCTGGTTTTGTCCTTAACTTGAATATATTCAGTCCAGTGTCACAGAGGAGGAAAGAAACCAGACAGATTCTCATTTAAGAAGCTGCAGTCACAGAATTTAGACATTTTACTCAAACAGATGAATCAGTTAAGTGAGACGAGTGAAGGAGTGAACCAGGGGTTACGTTAGGACACGGCTCAGGGTCACTGGAGGTCAGGATCAGGAAGTAAACATCAAATACACACAGTAGTACTGCTCCAGGCTACAACTCGTGTATCTGAAGCTGTTTTCACATCAGCTCACAGCTCAGAGGACCGTCAGAGGCATGAAGAGGAAACCAGAATCGTGTTTTTCCACCGACACACCTTCATCTTACATAAAGTTGCATCTGGATGACATCAGCCTGGTTAGCTGCGGATGCTAACTTAACTCTGTTAGCGTCAGCTGCTTTGGTTTGGGTCAAACTGTCAGAAAATGCAAAATACACAAAACGTTCACGTCTGTGGGGACAGAGGATGTGTGTCTTTGAGGGTTTTAATGTTTTTTGGAACTGAATAATTGTTCCTGAAGCTGTTTGTTGCTCACAGCGTCAATCAGACTGAAGCTATTCATCATATTGATCATATCTGGAGACTAAACTGTGACTAACGTGACTGACTGACGAGTTCCACATAGAAAATAAAGAAGCCAGCACCTCTATAATCTATTTAAAGGCCGATAATTCAGTCATTTAGACGCACTTCTAACACTTCAGCCACTTTTCTGGTAAACAGGTTCCTATGAAGTGTTTAACAGGTGAAAACACCTGGATGGTTATAATGTGGGCCACAGACACGTGAGGATGAAAGCACCCACGGAGGGCTTTAGGCACAAACTCCAGCCTGGATGAGGGACCGGGTGCGGACTCACCTGTAGAAGTTCTCCGAGCCGCCGATCGCCACCAGGCAGTAGGTGTTGGTCAGTTTGGCGAAGCAGCCGATCTCGTTGTTCTTCTCAAACGAAGCTCTCACGGCCATGGCGAAGGAGAAGGCGGTGAAAATCTGATCCTGGAACAGACACGAAGCTTTGAAGTCAGCCTGTTTACTGTCTGCTAGCTCGCCGGCTAACCCAGCAGCTAGCTAGTTTGTCAAGTTTACCGTTTAGCTTCCGGACAGAAAAAACACGTCAAATGAAGATGTTTCATGAATCAACAGACATCCGGTGACTTTCTGCCGAGTGGCTCCTGTTTGAAAAACTCTGACTAGTCCGTTAATAAGCGGCTGAATTACCTGAAACAGACTCGGGGCCTCCAAACATGCGAACTCGCGACTCACGTCTTCCACACGTGCTGACTTCCGCATCAGCGTTAACGGGGTGACGTCAGACGCACGACGCGGAACGTCAGCGCGTTTTAATTCATGTTTTTCTGATTTGTGTCGGGTTTTTTTCGTTTGTTTTTAATTTAATCACTTGTTTACCTGAAGGTTTGTTTTTATTGTTTTGTAAAATAAATAAAAAAATAAAAAATTGTACCAAAACTTTCTTTACTTTGACATTAAATGCAATTTTTGTGTCACTTTTTATGATCAAAACTCTGTATTTTACCGGTTTTTATTATATTTTACTACACACATTATTCTTCTGTATATTTCATAAATTAGCGCTTTCTCATGTGAAGGTTTGTGTCTCGTCCACCCTTCTTTGCATTCAGAGACATGAAATAATCCAAACTCTGTTATTAAAAAACAAAAGCGTTAAAAATCTTCATATGAACACAGCAAAAGTTTTCAATAATCTGGATTTTAATGCAACACAGTCAGAAGTAAATATCTGGATCAACAATATATTACAAGCAAATCTGGATATTAACACAAAAAGTATTAAAACTCTGGATAACAACAGCGCAACAGGACTTTATGTGGTGGAATCAGAATCCAACAATCCTGAGACGTGTAGAGCAAACACTTCATCCTCCTTTAAAACTCTTTGAAAAACACATTTATACAGACGTGTTTTTACAGGAGTTGTTTTATGAGTGTGCTTTTACTCCGTTTGATGACAGTATGAAGGGCAGGACATTCTATCTTCTGTTTTATTCCTTTATTGTCTTTTCATTGTCTTCTTTTACTGGGTTTTATTTTTCTTATATATTTTTATATTGTTTTATTGTCTTTCATGCTTTATGTGTTTCACCATCACCATTTTTTATTTATTTATGTATTTTTTGCTTTTTACTTCTTTTAATGTTGTTTAATGTTGTTTAATGTTGTTCTTACACTTCTCTTTGAATCTGTACAGCACTTTGTAACCCTGTCTTGAAAAGTGCTATATAAATAAAGTTTATTAAATAAATAAAGTTTATTATTAACCACAAGACAAACCAACAGAAGAATGAAAACAACAACAAACCTTCACATCGTACACTTGTGGTCCATACATGTGTCCTGTATGAAGTCACGTTCTGCCTCCCAGAACCTGATGTTCCTCAGAAAACACTGTGAGATGAAAGTAGTTGTTCTTCTGTGTCCCTGATCAGCTTCGATTTAGTTTAAATGCTTCTATTGTTCTTTATTTACCCGTTAAATGCGTCTGGTGTGGGGCAGCTCACGTGTTTAGTCACATTTCACTTGATTAATATCTTTATTTTATTTCTTTTAAACACATTTAAAGTAAACATGGACTCTGAATGTCTGTGCTCCTAATCAGGGCCTCCAGGATTATTTCCCTTCTTCCTTATTTTGAACTGATTTGACAGAAAATATTTGAGTTTCCTCCAACGTCTGGTTTAGTCCAAAGATGTTCAGTTTAGTGTCACAGAGGAAAGAAACCAGAAAATATTCACATTTAAACTCCACAAACACGTTTTATTTCTTTAAAAACAACACAGTGACGCAGTGTTTTTACTTTGTTCTACTTTAAATGAAACGTTTCTGTGAATGTGATGATAAATAAAGTTGTGTCTCAGGGTTCTGTCTGGTTCTGATCCAGTATTCTGGGCTCCTGCGGTATTTAATCAGCGTATCGACCCGTCTGTTGGTTTCCTTTCCACCGTCTGGCCTCTGATCGATCCATTGATCCACTAATCGATCTGCTGATTGATCTCTTTCTCAGATGTTCCAGGTGTGTCCACGCGGCCTCCTTCCGTCCATCAGCTGCGCGCGTCCATGTTAAGCGTGCACGAGCGCCGGCAGAAGGAGCACGTCTTCCCTCCTCAGCAACCTGCATAGCAACCTGCATAGCAACCTGCATAGCAACCGCCCTCCCCCTCCTCCTCCCCCTGTCCTCGCGCCGCTCCGGGCTCGCCGCTCTCAGCCAATCACGTGGGCCGCCGCCTGTGACGTCTTGTTTGTTGACACTTCCATTAGCTCGCTACCTGTGTGACGTCACTGCAGCAGGTTGGGGAGGGAGGAGGAGGAGGGAGGGGGGCAGAGCGGAGGAGGAGGAGCCGAAGAGCAGCGAAGGGAACAGGAGGTATCACTCCGCCTCAGCAGCAGCGGCTCCTTGTTGTTGTTGTTTCCTCTGCGTCCTGTGAAAGGTCAACAACACGATGTTTGTTCCACACAAACAAACAACAAAAACCTGCCGGGTGTTCATCAGCCCCTCACCTGATTTAAAACCTTTTTTTTTGTCTCTTTCTGGCGGTTGAAGTCGGTTAATCGTCTAAACTCACCTGTACGGCTCCAGTAGATTCATTGATGTGGTTCTGTGCTGCTGTATTCTGGATTTTATGCTTTAGTTGTTGTAATTTTTTTTTTTTTTTTTTTTAACCTTTTCCTGTACAGCACTTGAAAAACCTCAAAGTCTGCAGCCATTCTGAATGTTTTTGTGGTAGTTCTTTGTCTCTCTGTGGTCAGTTTGTGGGTTTTTGTTTGTTATTTTGGCTGTTTTGTAGTCTTTTTTTTGTCTTTTTGTAGTCACTTTGCATGTTTTTGAGGTAATTTTGTGTGTCTTTTTGGACAGTGTGTCTCTTTGTGGTAATTTTGCATGCTTCCATACTCAATTTGTGTCTTTTTGTTGCAGGTGTGTGTCTCTTTGGATCATTTTGTGTCTCTCTGTGGTCATTTTTGCATGTCTTTGTAGTCTTTCTTGCCTTTTGTAATCATTTTGTGTCTCTGTGGTCAGTTTGTGTCTCTTTGTGGTCAGATTGTGTCTCTTTGTGGTCAGTTTGTGTCTCTGTGGATTCATTCAGCATCTCTATCTTGTCTCAGGTGTCCCGTCGCATCTGTGTCGTCATTTCCGGCCAGCTTGTAGTCCTCCTCTGCGTCCGGGAGGAGTGATCCTCCTCCTGCCTCCAGGATCTGTGCAGCGCTCCGCTCCTCCGACACGTCGGACCGGATTCTCTGCCTGGAAACACCGAGCAGTGGTCGGAACCGGCGGTCGACGGACGGACGGACGGACGGACGGACGGAGGCTCCAGGAGGTGGGAAAGCGTTCATTAGTTCCCCCGGAGGCTCGGGTTGTGTGTCTGTGTGTGTCTGTGGGCGGAGCTTAGTGCTGCCAACATGGAGGTAGACCAGGAAGACATGGAACAACAACACCAGTAGAACAGAACCAGTAGGACCAGTAGCACTAATGACACCAGTAGGACCAGTAGAGGAGAGGTGTTCCACCAGGGCTGTAAATGTTTATTCATGAACATTAATCAGCTGACAGCAGGTCTACTGGTTCTGGTTCTGGTTCTGGTTCATCTAATGGCTCCACGTCTGAGTTAGAATCAAAGCTGCACGTGATCAGTTTGAGTCCAGAGTCATCTGCTGAGCTAACCAGAACCGGACAGCAGGTGGTCTGTGGAGCTGATTGACTGAAGCTGCGTCTCATGAAGTCGGCTGGAGTCGAACTGGACCGGACCTGCAGCTCCTCGTCGGAGGAGTCGGGCCTCAGCTCAGGAATCTATTTTTAGCTGAACGCTGACGGAGAATTTGTGAATGAAGCGAGTCCATCCACGTCCCGGTCCGGTCGCTGCTGCTGTCGGGTTCTGAGGAGGCCGAGTTACTGCAGCCACTGGCTCACAGAGCTGCTGGTTCTGGTTCTGGTCCGGCACACAAGACCCAAACCACTTTAGTCTGTACTGAGCTCATCCATTTTCTCCATGAAGAAGCAACAGGACGCCACACACAACACCGACAGACACACAAAGAAACACACAACACCGACAGACACACAAAGAAACACACAACACCAACAGACACACAAAGAAACACACAACACAGACACACAAAGAAACACACAACACAGACAGACACACAAAGAAACACACAACACCAACAGACACACAAAATGGTCAAAAAGTCAAAGCAGATGTCAAGAAGGAAACGCAAAACGAGTAACACAATGACCACAAATACACAAACTACACACCAAGAAGCACAACGTGAGTGAAAGCAACACAAGAGGTCCAAAGGCAGACACAAAATAACTAAACAGACACACACAAATACAAAACAACAACAAATAAATACTAAATACCAACAAAGAGACACAAACTGACGACAAATAAACAAATGAGTCGCCAAGAAACACAAAGTTACAAGAAAGCAACACAAAAGACCTAAAAACAGACACAAAGTAACAAAAAGACACAAACGAACACTAAGAGACACAAAACAACAAGAAAACAACAAAAAAGTAACAAAAAATTACTGCACAAAGACACAAAATGACCACAAAGAGACATAAAATGACCACAAATACACAATTTCAACACCAAGAAGCACAGAGTTATGAGACAGCAACACAAAATGACCACAAAGACTCAAATGGACTCAGAACCACCAGACAGCAGCAGAAACGACCTCAGAATGACACCAAGGGTCCGACAGGTTTCATCGTCGTCGGTGCATCGAGTGTCAGAACTCGTCTAAACTCGTCCTAATTATCGTCTAACGAGTTCAGACCTGGAACAAGTTCGCTGTCGTCTGAAACGATTCATGTTGTCGAAGCTTCAGCCAGAAAACAGGAAACACGACTAACGAGGAGGCGTGTTGATGGAGTCCAGCTCCGCTCCGTCTGCTCTGAGCTTTACTGCCGGGCCACCAGTTAAATCCAGTTCTGGACCAAAGGTCAGAACCGCCGCCGACGTTTATGTGAAAGTCACCACGAGTCACGGCTCTGAGGCTAGCTCTGCTTTACAGCCTCCGAGTCACGCCGCCACCGCCGCCACCGGAGTGTGAAAATATTCAGCTGCAGTTTGTTCCTGTTTGTTCCAGAAGCTGGAAACAGCGAGATCATCGACTGGACCGCAGACGAGACAGGACAGAACAGAACCACGAGTTCAACACGCGCTGACGAGTCCTTCTGTCCTCTGAACACGACGAGAACCTGAAGGAAGCAGAGCAGCCTGGAGGAGCTCCAGAGAGGC